CGTTGTGGCAATGTTTGGAATGAGAGGCCAGTTAGGAGTCAGAAAAATAGTTTATTGCCACATTACAGTAACTTTACTAAAACATCACCCAACTCCCAAACAAAATTCAACTTGTCTGCAACATTACAAGATTGTTCCGTATTAGCTAGGTCATAAGTGGCTAGATCTTTTGCGGACTGATTTCAGATTTATACGCAAAATATATATTTCTTGGTCCCAAACCGTATATCTTGCGATATCTGGCAAAAAGTGACTGCTTAACAGCTGAATATATAAGAGGTAAATAAGCAGGTATGCCAGACTCGAGTACTTTATTTGAACCTGTCGACGGACAGATTTATTATCTTGGAGTTTTTAATGACTTTAATAAATCCAATTGTTATAAACAAGATTTATTCGTAGAAGAAAAAATCTCCGTTTGCCGATTATGCACTGGAATAACAAGACTTGTTGATGCGAAAAGTAACAGATGACTTGCCCGTAAAGTACGAGACAACAGAATGGCTACTGTGACACAGATAGCAGGTAGCTTTAATGAAGAACGAAATGCATTATATGAATACAACAATTCTTTCTGTCTATGATCGGAATAAACACAAGCCAATCAGAGTAATCATGCGAACAAATATCTGCTGCCAAAAGTGATTTAAAAGAGGTTTTCTCGTTCATTTTGTTATCTTATTTTCGTTGGGCAGTAGAAGTTATCCTATAGGAACGATGACAGCAGAAAGCGCGGAGGGAAAAATGTCAGTGGAGTCAGTGTGATGAGTTTCTATAATAAATGTAGAAAGTAACCCCATCATCACTGAAGACAACGTACATGGAATCGGTATTCGACAATGATGGCGGCACTTTTAACTGGGACAATCCGCTCTCCAGGAATTGTATATGAACGGTTTCAGAATCTCGAAGGCTTCATTTTGTTGCTCTGCCTACCAAAACTCCCAGATCACAATCTCTTTGAGCATATATGGAATGTGTTGGTCAAACACGTTCCTTCTGGAGCACATTTAATCTGAAGAATTTAAAGGGTCTTGTAGAGTATATCACTATCTGGGCATGCACCTTTTCGGGACACAAGATTTTTCCTCCTGTTGTTAAATTTGTACACTCGCAAATGAAGAATAAGACCTCAGCCGCATTAAGCTAGGTGTTGCTACTGTCATTTCCGTGGGAAATATTTTCTTTCTGGGCAGAGATATACCCACGCCCAACTGGTTTTAAATCTTCCTTCTTTTAGACTGGTTTATAACCAAAGCCACAGATACTAGTTTGTCCTGCTATTAATCCATGTGAAAAGAAAATATAGGTTCATGCCTTTCCAAGTTTATTTGTGAGAAAGCGAACGCAACGGCTGGAATTTGAACACGACACGCCAATCTTATATCCTGTGCCAATAACAGCTATGCTAATAGCAGATTCATGTGCATAAGGATGGCCAACACCTTATTAAGAAAGTGGTCATAAGGTTTTGGATCTTTAAACCTTATGGCAATGTTATAAACATGTGTCTGATAGGAAGAAAAGATGTATGCATGAAATATGTATAAGTGCTTTCTATATCTTTCTTTCTATTCTTGCGTATCTTTGTTTCAGAGAGGAAAATTCGAGTAGTTTACAAAAAGGGACTCCTCAGCAGAAGACCTAAGAATACATTGTAAGAATTCAGAATTTGGGAAACAAACATCAATTGGAATTTTTTTAAAGAAAATCGTAGCAAAAATAACAGCTGAACCTTTAGAAAAATTCACATAAATCAGAAAATATGTTTAAATGACGCTGTACAAGAAAATAGACGGGTGAAAATCGACAATCAAGATAGAATTTGTTGACCATATTCCCATATGTGACCATGATATTGTTTCCCTAAAAATTATTATCTTGGATAATCAGTGGATGTTGTGATTCGATGTGAGCGATAAATTCATCAAATCAAACTTGGATTTGTTCATTAATGCACAATTTAGCTGAAACACTACGTAAGAAGCGAGACAGCTACAATCAAACAGGAACGTTGCCTAAGATAATAAGCCGCGGTTTAGCGCAAACATGAGTAAAGTTTTAGAGAGTCACAACTTAGCAAGAAAATAACGCTAAGTTTGTTTATTAGTCTCAATATAAGTGAAGCGACCCTTAAGGTAATACGCAGTTACAATTGAGCTGAAATATTTGTTACGTGATAGGTAGCCAAAACTTAGCTGAAACAGAGCGTATAGTGTTAAAATTCTTTTAGCTCAACTGATGCTTGATGAGATAAGCATTCACAATATAACTGAAACATTTAATATCACAGTTTATCTGTAGCTATGCATAATGTGATAATCACCCACAATTTCGATGAAAATAGCGTATATTGATACAAAACAACTATTTAGCTCAACTGATGACTAACGTAATAGGCAGCCACAATTTAGCTGAAACAGTTGTAAGATGATAGGAAGGTACAATTTATCAAAAACATTCGTAAAATGATAGGCAGAATCAATTTAGCTGAAAATACCTTATAGAAAAGGACAATATATCTGAACTGATGCCTAATGTGATAAAAAGGCACAATATAGCACAAACATTCTCAAAATGACAGGCAGACACAATTTAACTGAAAATAACGTATATGGGAATAAAAAAATGACGATTTAGTTAATCCGGTGTCTTAGGAGTATTAAATCACAATTTGGCTAAAATATGTGTAAGTATATGTTTCTAATAAATGTAATATTTAAACGAACAATTTCGATTTGAAATTTGATCATCTTTCCGTCAGCGAATTGAGAGGTACTGAATTGGTTTTTATTGATATTTATCAATCGTAAGTTTTCTAGCAGTTGACCACGATTCATCGAGAAGCTTAAAAGAAAAAAAACGATGGGCTTCTCTTCCCTTTTTTCAATCATTGTCCTCGTTATATATTCATACACATTTCTGAAGGTTTTTATTATTATTATTATTATTATTATTATTATTATTATTATTATTATTATTATTATTCCTCTGAGATTCCGAAAACTGAATTAGAAAATATACCCAAATCGTCGACTGAAAATAATATACGAGATCGATTATTTTTAATATCAATTTGCTTAGCAATCTTTGTCTTTAGATAAAACCTCAAGAATTGATCATTCTTTTGTCTGTAGTGCTATCCATGAAGTCGATTATCTAGTGAATAATGTTTGAATCTCAAAAAACATCAGAATATACCAGAAATGGTTTCCTCTTAGAAGTCATTGATCAAGTTCGATCCAGACATGATGATCAATAATTTTGCCAAGACAAAGATATATTTGATAAATCATTCTATAAGTACATTTACAACATTTTGGTCGATACTAAACGTTAGAAATCTGTGCGTTGTCATATGTCAGTCTGACAACTAAGTTGAATTTTAATACCCGCATTTCACTACCTTCTGATAGGGTGTTTGAAAACATCGACTTTTTATCTGACAAAATGTCTTCGTATTAAATGTCCCATTTTTGGTGTTTAACGCTTTGTTATCTCGATATAAAATGATAAACAACATGACTTTAATGTTATAAAAAAAAAACAAATGCGTTCACGCGAACCTCTCACCATAAATCCTTTTTCCTATTTCCTCCACACACAGACACGCAAACATACACACACACACACACACACACACACGTGTGTGTGTGTGTTTTTTTTTTTTTTTTTTTTGTGTGTGTGTGTGTGTGTGTGTGTGTGTGTGTGTGTGTGTGTGTGTGTGTGTGTGTGCGTGTATTTGAGTGTACGGTCGTTTAACAGCACTGACATTAACTTTCTCAAAAAGAAACAGAAGCAGACACGTACGTATGTAGCAATTTATGAATTGTTAGTCAATGAAACACAGGTAATATTTACTATATATATATATATATATATATATGTGTGTGTGTGTGTGCGCGTGTTTGTGTCATTGTGTCTGTGTTTCTGTGTTTGTGTATGTACATACTTACGCACAAGCAGATATATGTAATGCAATTAAATTAAAATATATGGTGGGTTACTAAAAGTATTCATTGCAACCACTTCCCAAATTTTGAAAAAATGACCAGATATAAAATATTTTCTTTTGAAAGGTTCAGTTCTACCTCGTTCTGAAATTATTATCTCGGTATAAAATGATAAACAAAAGACCTTGATTGCTAAAAAATAACAAACACACGCACTCTAATCTCTCTGTATTTATTGATCAAAATGTAACAATGAGCATAAGACAAATCTTAGTAGATAGAATCAGAATATTCAACAGCACCCAATACAAGGAAAGATTCAAAACTCTTGAAGCTAACATTATACAAAATAAACCGCCCACATTCAATAAAATATCATTCACCACAGGAGAAGCTATCTTTAAGCGCATATAATATAATTAATGTGTGCACATATCATATTAGTATTAAAAATATACAAAAAATAATTAATTAATTAAAACAAATAACTCGCATTTTTTGTGCGGCCTCGTTGCTAATAGCCATTACACATGACGTCACGCGAGGTTATTCCAAACGTCTAGCTTCCCGAAGTATACCAGGATGCAAACAAAGAAAGTCTAACTACCACACAGACATCACATCGAGTCTTAATAATGAATGCGGAAGATGAAAATGCTTGAACAAAAATAAAATATGAACTTCGGACAATTTATTGGTAACTTCGAACATAGTACTCAACACGATATCCTAAAATTAAAAAAGATATAATAAAAAAAATTAAAGAGACAGACCTTGTCAGTTCTTTTTTGATGAAGCTTTTTGAAGATATATATATATATATATATATATATATATATATATATATATATATATATATATATAAAAAAAATAGTATTTTAGTTATTATTTTAGTTGGACTATTTACCTAACCAGTTCCTTCCTATTTTCTATATATTTTCACATATATATATATATATATATATATATATATATATATATATATATATATATATATATATATATATATAGCTTAAAAGTGAATATTTAAGTCAACACTTTGGTGAC